GCGAATACTTAGAGTTGTGTGGTGGTTGTGGCCAGGGAGCTCTGTTCAGAGCTCCAGGGTGAAGGGAGTATTAAGGAGACACCCAGGTTAGGCGTGATAAATCTCCTTTCTTGGGGGGACTGGGAGGTTGTTGTGCTCTGTTGGCATAGACTCAGCTCACTTCCTCTCCTCAAAGGACACCAGTGCCTGAGTGCTAGCTCCAATGGGTATAGAATTCGTCTGTGCTTCCACAAGGAGCACACAAAGGATCTATGCAGTCCTCAGTGTTAGCAGATTCCCAAGAAACATCCCTCACCAGGGAACCAGGGAGCCTTGAATATTTGGAGCCTCCCAAAGTCACTGCCCAAAGTCCCATTTACACCCAGAGCCTTTCCACAGAGCCTCAGTGTTTTCACAGTCCTGGCACTTAAGTGTCACACAATCACGAGCACCCAGCCCCCTGTCAGTTCTCCAAACCAGACTCAGGGGTCTCCACTTGGCTGCTTGTTGGGCATGGCCATGAGTAGGCTGTTCTGTATGTCCAAAATGGTGCCTGCTCTCTATGCTGTTGCAGGTTCATCAGGGATAGAGACATGACCCCTCCCCCTGTTTTTTCTCCTGTAGTTTGGCAGGTACACTATGCCCCACAGAGTTCCAAGCTGGATTCCCTCCAGGCTCTTCCTGGAGCTTTATTTCCAGTGGCTTGTGCTGCTGCAGTCTGGTCTCACCTCACTCTCCAAAGCTGGTGCAGAGGCTCTTGGCTGTTAGGGTCCAGAGTTGTGCATGTCCATGCCCTCCACATGGGTTCACTGTGTCCCTCTAATCTGAATGGAGTTTCCTCTGCCATTTTCTCCCTAACTCTCCCCTAAGGCTGCTCTCTCTCCACTTTTATTGAACTGCCTTTTCCTAGACTAGAGCAGTAAGCTCCCTCCCTACTCTGCCATCTTAATCCCTCTCTTCCCTAATTTATTCTTTTTTTTTAGATTTATTTATTTGAAAGGCAGAGTTAACAGAGAGGCAGAGGCAAAGTGAGAGAGGGAGAGAAGTCTTCCATCCGCTGGTTCACTCCCAGGTGGCCGCAATGGCAGTAGCTACACTGATCCAAAGCCAGGAGCTGAGCTGGTGCCACGGCTCGCTAGGCTAATCCTCTACCTTGCGGCGCCAGCACACCGGATTCCAGTCCCAGTCGGGGCGCTGGATTCTGTCCCAGTTGCCCCTCTTCCAGGCCAGCTCTCTGCTGTGGCCAGGGAGTGCAGTGGAGGATGGCCCAAGTGCTTGGGCCCTGCACCCCATGGGAGACCAGGAGAAGTACCTGGCTCCTGCCATCGGATCAGCGCGGTGGCCATTGGAGGGTGAACCAACGGCAAAGGAAGACCTTTCTCTCTGTCTCTCTCTCTCACTATCCACTCTGCCTGTCAAAAAAAAAAAAAATAAATAAATAAAAAATAAAATAAAATAAAAATAAATAAAAATAAAAATAAAAACAAAGCCAGGAGCCTGGAGCTTCTTCCAGGTCTCCCATGCAGGTGCAGGTGTCCAAGGACTTAGGCCTTAGTAGAGAGCTGGGTGGGAAGTGGAGCAGCCAGTACTCAAACTGGTGCCATATGGGATGCCGGCACTGCAGTCAGCGGCTTTACCTGCTACACCACATGTCTCTGTGGAGCAAAGTTACCAATAGAAACATAGTAAAAATCACAAATATGAGCCCATATGTAACTAAATTTCCCATTAGTTACATTAAAAATGTAAAAGAAGTAAAACTGAACTTCATGAAATATTTTTTCTTAATTTCAAAATACTAAAATATTATTTAACCTGTGTTCCATGTATAAATTAATATTGATATTTTATTTTTTGCAATGCATTTTTAGGACCAGTGTTTATTTTACATTTATAGTTTGTCTAAATTTAGATTAAGAACATTTCAAACGATTAATAGCAACACATGGTTAATAACTACCCCAGTGGGCAAAACAGTTTTAATGAATAATTTCTCAGGCATAGCCTGTATTCAGTCACAGGTATCATAGCCATTGCCCATTTAGTTTCTCCTACCTTATATGGGATTTCAACCATGTGCCATCAGTGAGTATCAGCCAATAAAATTATGAGCCTCATAATACCTTTGAATATCTTCAAAAGTATTTTTTGTGACTTAAATTCATGCATGCATTTGTCCAATTTTAATCAAATGTTTATAGTCAAAACATTACCTCAAATGTCCTTTAAACTTCTATTGAAGCATGGTGAGAAATGAGTAACTACCCTTACGAGAATCATATAGTAATTTACTGCATTTTTCTGCAATTTTCTGTAAGCAAATGTATTTCCAACTCTGAAGCTACTAAAGTAATTAGACAGCCTTCTGTTCAAAATTCTGAAAAATTTCAAGTGACTACAAGTCAGTCCAGGAAATTCCCTGTCTAGGACACAACCAAGCCTGACAATATTTCATTGTTTAAGAGAAATCAAAATCTTTAAAACTAATTATAGATTCCTTTCCCACATTTCTGTATTATGCACTTCTATTAAAGATAACATTTTACAGGTTTATTAATTGAATATAGAATTAATAAATGTCAGACATTGGTACCACTCTCCCAGGTTGACTGAGAAATAAAATGATAATTCTCAATCTATTATGTGGTTCTATCTATCAATGTTGCACTGGCCTTAATGCTGCTCCTATTCCAAAACTTGACTGGACTCATACAAATACTTGGTGGCTAAATCATAAAGGATAAGTTAAACAGGGATGACTAAATAAGGAAATGGGTGGGTTTTATTGGAAAGGAATTAAGTTCCATTGATTAGATGTGAAAATGAAATCAATCAGAAAGTAATTGTTTTTCTAAAGAACACAAAAATTGGAGTGATTTTCAGGTCTCTTTGAAAAGAAAAGTGTGAAAGGGAAGCAGAACATGGACACTAGAAAATACAATAAGATAGACTCCTTTTTTTATGTAACCATTTGCTTGCTGTGACTTTGATGCTGGTGACTCCAGCAAAGATACATCTCTCAGCTCTTGTACAGTAGCCCTGACAGCTGCTGTCTGCTCTTTCATAGGAAAAACACCTTAAGATGGCTCATCTGTAATCTTCATCTTTTAACTGTTAGGTTGCTTCATGTTTGTAAAGAGTGGCCATATTAAACCTGGGATATTTTAGAAGACTTACCAAATGCTACAATTCACTCTTTAATTACCATTTCTAAAGACCAAGTCCCTATAGAAGATTAGGCTAATATTTTTTATCTCTTGGAATCTACCCAGTCACTTTTGATAAATGTGAATTTTGATAAGATGGAATTTCCACTCAAAGTGGTCTTCAGGAGGTGAAAGGAATCTATTATTTTCAACAAATAAAAGGACTTTTAATAGATGAGTCAAATTCTCATAGTACATATTCTGGTTCATTTGATATGCCTTGAATGAATTTCTCATCAAGAGCAGATGTTCGAGTAGAAGAAAATGAAGGAAATATGGAAAATCAAAAGAAACCATTGTATGAAGCATCTAAACACTTGAGTTAGAGCAGTAATGACTTCAGAGTTTGCATTTCTTTCTCTTTATTTCTCACCAGTATTGTGAAATGTACCCTGATAAATAAATGCTTGTTTTACTGGATTACATTTTAGGAATACATCAAGATTGCAGGTGAGTTTCATGACAAGCAGAGCTTTTTCTATTTTGTCATTCTCTGAAGATATTCCCATCAAAAAAGCCATTTTCAAAATATCATCAGTTTTGAAAAATCCACATCTAATTTATCTGCAAAAGAACATCTTTTCTTTATGAATCCAACTGCCAAAATATTTGAAAATGTTCTCAACTTAAAAGACTAGTCTATTTTTCCCCATGAAAAAAATTGGAGCACAAACAAGAGGTTTCCAATAATACTTATCCAAATGGTGCAAATGCTTCCTTTAAACTCAGTGATATTAAAGCAATCTGATTTCTGCCATGTAGGAGCAGAATAGCCAAAGCTTGAAGAGAACATTTTTTAATAATATTGAGCTGGATTTGAACCCCCTACATCAAAGTCGAGCTTCCTTTCCTCCAACTAGTTAATTAAGTTTTCTTAGTTCCAAAACCATATATTATTGATAATGGTACTATCTCTATGGACTTTCAGGAGGACTCCCTGAAATACCTTAAGGAAAGTAATTAGTATCTTGCCTCCACATAGTAGATGTTCCAAAAACAACTCTTACTGTCATTGCTATAATTTACCACAAATATGAAATAAACATAGTATGTCATTCAACAGCTTAAAATCCTAAAATGTCTTACTTTCAATGACAATAAAGTTCACACTCTTTACCCAGAGGAAACTTCCTTCTCTCAGATCTCACTGACATTTTCTGCTTGGTTCAAATATTTTTCAGCCACATGGACTTTTGTTCAGTTCATGGCATTTGCCCAACTCATTCCCAGCACTCTCTGTTTAGACACTCAATCAATAGTCACTGAATAAATGAATCCTTCAATCTCCTCAAGTGAAGTATTTAATGGATGAGAAAGCAGGCTGAGAAAGTCATCCTTGCTCACCAAACTCTTAAGTAATTGGAGCTCAGCTTTTAAGACACATCTGTCTCTTTGTAAAGCTGTACTTCTCCTTATTCTTTATACAGAAATGGGTTTACCAGGAAGCCAATAAACCTTTATGCTTCCGGAAGGGGCAAAGCAATGTGGACACAGGGCCAACTATTTTCTTATGTTACATATTTTCACTGAAAATAGTCACTTTTTCCATTTTGAAGTTTCCTCCATTATGTTTAGCTGTAGTTTTAGAATTCATTGATAGGGCTGTGATCACATTTAAGGAAACTTCTAAAAATTTTTCATAGATTTAAATTATGTTTTTGTGTAGTGACTGACCTTACTTACATTTCAAGGTATGTTACTGGAAGCCACTCATGCTCTGTGATGAACTATAGCAATCAAAGTAAAAACAGAACTGACTACAAACCACACAAATAGACCTCATTGAAACCAAACTAACCATATCTCCCAATTTACCCCTTGCCAAATCCCAAAACTTCTTTTTGGTCAAATGTTGTAAGTAACAGAAATGTATTTGTCACAGTTCTAGAGCCTGGGAGGTCCAAGATGAAGGTACCAGCAGGCTCTGCCTGGTGGAGGCCCCTTTCCTGGATCATAACTGATGTCTTCTCACTGTGTCCTCCAATGGTGGGAAGTGGTAAAGCAGCTGTCTTGGGTGCATATATAAGAAGACTCATTTCATTCAGAAAAGTTTCTTTTTGCATGATTTCATCATCCTACAAAAGCTTCACCTCCTAATACTGTTATATTGGTGATCAGATTTCAACTTAGGAATTTGGGCAAAAACATAAGCATTTAGACCATAGCAGAGTGGGGCATTTGAATATAACCAAAATATCTTACTTAGGCGAATTTACAAAAACATGTGAATGCATTCCATCCTTCCCCAGGTTTGAAATGTGTTCTATACTTTCTATCTCTACATTTAGTACAAAGCAAATTTCAATCAGCTGAGAGACAGAATTATCTTTCCATTTTATCTAGATAAAATGATATTAAGATATATTTCCCTTTGAGGTCTCCACATGGGTGGCAGGGGTCTAAATACTTGGGCCATCTTTTGCTGTCTTTCCAGGTGCTATTAGCTGCAAGCTGGATCAGAAGCAGAGCAGCCTGAACCTATGTTCCCATGAGGGATACCAGCATTGTGGGCTACAGTTTAGCCCACTGCACCATTAATAATGATCCCAAATTTACAAAGTTGTGAAAATTATATCACTGTTGCTAACTTCCTAAAAATAACTTACCATGCTGAGGAGAGGACAACAATAAGTAACACAAGTGAAAAATGAGATTGATTCTTAGATGTGTCAAGAACTTTTAAAACACGAAAGACATATAGACTAGTGGCAGCAAGATGATGCAATAGGAAGGGAGCACACTGATAGTCTGGGAAGAGACAGTTTAATAAAAGTGGAGATACTGCAGGTTCAAGGAAGAGTAGGGGACGAAACAGCAGAGGAAACTCTTCTGGAACTAGTGATTCATGGTGGACCTGCGTGGAGGGCGTGGGAGCCCACGGCTTGGGACACCAGTGGCAGAATCAATGCACCAGCGCTGGAACGTGAGGTGAGCCGAATCTCAATAGCCTGAGACACCAGCAGGAAAGTGGAAAGAGGAGACTAGAGGGAACGAGGCCTGAAACCCCATGGGGAAAAGTTCACCAGACTAACTAGAAGAGAGAGGGAAAAAAAAAAGTGACTAGTATGGGCACGAGTTTCTCTCTCTCCGCTCACCTCTCAAAGGCAAGCAAGACAAAGAGCAGGTGCCATTTTGGACATAAGTCATAAGCGGTGCAACCTCAGGGCTGCACCCGCCCTCAGCAAGCAGAAAAACCTGACTCTGGGGGGGTGGGGGGTGAAATTAGGACCTAGTGAATGTGTGGTGCTAATGAACTGAGACTGTGAAAAAAGAGATGGTGGGTGAGAGAACTCACGGGATTCACGTGAGTACTCTCCAGAGACACTACAATTTGGTAACCTTGGCAACCCAGTGGGAGACTGCAGGTGAATTTGAGCCCACACTGAGGGCAGCACAGATTCCCTGTGTGGTCCTTCAGAAAGAGCTTCCGATCTCTGGCTCCTGTGGGTATATCATTCACTTGCTAACTACCTTCAATTCCACTCAGCTGTGTGGAATTACTTCCCTTCTGAATCAAAAGAAAGAAAGGAAGGAAGGAAGGAAGGAAGCAAGGAAGGAAGGAAGAGAGAGAGAGAGAGATTTACCACGCCTAACCTGGGAGTGTCACCTTTGGCACACCCTTAACCCTGAGGAACCAAACAGAGCTCTTAGGCCACACCCATCTCAAGCCTCTAAGGCTCCATCAAAAGCAGTCAGTCCACTTAATACACTCAGATTATAACAAGGAAAAAAAACACCACAGTGAGGGAAGAATCCAAAGAATATCTCCACAATGCCAAGCAATAAACACAGAAACCAAGGAAACAAGAACAAGTGAGACATTATGATGCCCCCCAATGAACAAGACACCCCAAGCCAAGATTATGAAAATGATGAGATGGAAGAAATGCAATATACAGATTTCAAAAAATTTATAAGAACATTTCGAAGTTTTCAAAAACAAATGCTTGAGCTACATAAATCCTTATTGGACAGGATAGAAAATCTCTCTCTTGTGAAAATGAAATTTTATGTTTAAGTTTAAGTAAATCAGAATGAAACGCAGAAACTAGTAGAACAGGAAAGTGTGATAATGAAGAGAAATCAAAATGAAATGAAGAACTCAATAGATCAAATGACAGACACATTAGAGAGCCTTAAAAACAGGGTCAGTGAAGCAGAAGAGAGAATATTGGACTTAGAAGACAGACAGGAAAGGATGCAAACAAAGAAAAGAAGAGGAAATTAGAAATCTAAAAAAATATCGCTGGGAATCTATAGGATACTATTGTAAAACCCAACCCCTGATCGGTGACAACTAACCAACCACAAAAAAGGAAACCTGTTGAAGTGAAAGGGACACTATTAGAAACAGTGACTTGATCAGTCCTTGTCTTGACTGTTGATGTACAATGTAATACTTTATCCCTTTTAGTATTTTTTTTCGTTCTAGTTAATACTATTGGTTGAACTCTGTAATCAACACACAATTATTCTTAGGTGTTGAAATTTAACTGAAAAGTGATCCCTGTTAAATATAAGAGTGGGAATAAGAGAGGGAGGAGATGTACAATTTGGGACATGCTCAATTGGACTTGCCCCAAATGGTAGAGCTAGAAATGTGCCAGGGGATTCTAATACAATCCCATCAAGGTAGCATGTACCAATGCCATCTCACTAGTCCAAGTGATCAATTTCAGTTCACAATTGATCACACTGATAGGTCTAAGAGTCAAAGGGATCACACAAACAAGACTAGTGTCTGCGAATACTAACTAATAGAATAAAAAAGGGAGAGAACGATGCAACATGGGAAGTGAGATACACAGCAGACCCATAGAATGGCAGATGTCCTAAACAGCACTCTTGCCTCAGAATCAGCCCTTAAGGCACTCGGATCTGGCTGAAGAGCCCATGAGAGTATTTTAGGCATGGAAAGTCAAGACACTCTGGCTATAGAAGAAAAGATAAATAAAGAATACCCTAAATGAAAGATCTCTGCAAGTGAAATCCCAGTATAAAGACATCAAAGAAGGAGGTACCTTTCTCTGAAGGGAGGAGAGAACTTCCACTTTGACTACAACCTTGTTCAAATATGATCAGAGTTGGCAAATACAAAAGGCTTCCATAGCCTTGGCAACTCATGACTAGAGCCTAGGGAGATTTCTGATGCCATAAACAACAGTGTCACACTGTTAAGTCAACAACAGGTGTCACTGTGTACTTACTCCTTATGTGGGATCTCTGTCCTTAATGTGTTGTCCAATGTGAAGTAATGCTATAACTAGTACTGAAACAGTATTTTACACTTTGTGTTTCTGTGTGGGTGTACACTCATGATATCTTTACCTAATATATACTAAATCGATCTTTTGTATATAAAGATAATTGAAATTGAATCTTGATGTGAATGGAATGGGAGAGGGAGCGGGAAATGGGAGGGGTGTTTGTGGGAGGGGAAGTTATGGGGTGGGAAGCCATTGTAATCTATAAACTGTACTTTGGAAATTTATATTTACTAAATAAAAGTTTAAAAAAAACACAAAAGACATATAAATGGGGATCTGGGAATTCACCATACAAGAGATTTGACAGCTACTTTGATTTAACTTACATTATTGAGCAGTATTAAAGAAAGGATAATTAGAGATATCTCCTTACTAATTGAAAAATATTGCTGTACCAACTATGCAAACACATTGTATATCAGTATGATCTAAATAAATAACTAGGTTAATCCTCTGCCTTGCGGTTGCAGCACACCAGGTTCTAGTCCCGGTCCGGGCGCCGGATTCTGTCCCGGTTGCCCCTCTTCCAGGCCAGCTCTCTGCTGTGGCCAGGGAGTGCAGTGGAAGATGGCCCAAGTCCTTGGGCCCTGCATCCCATGGGAGACCAGGAGAAGCACCTGGCTCCCGGCTTCTGATCAGTGCAGTGCGCCGGCCGAAGTGCGCCGGCCACAGCAGCCATTGGAGGGTGAACCAATGGCAAAAGAAAGACCTTTCTCTCTGTCTCTCTTTCTCACTGTCCACTCTGCCTGTCAAAAAATTTAAAAAAATTTAAAAAGAATATTTCCCTCCACATTCCATCTGTGTAATAGAATGATTGCACTCATAAGAGCAAGTCTAAACATATTTTACAGTCTAGGAATGCTATAATGAACAGAAATTGGGGAATCAAAGATTTCCTAAAAATATTCAGTGTGTAGGACCTCAATTATACTGTCATTAATAGATGAAATTATGTTGATAAATCAGTGTTAACAAATGGTTAGCACAGTTTCAAGCTAACAATGAGGTTTGAAAACCCCTACTGATAAAGACTTTCAATTATATATCTGTGCTTAACTGTAAAAGATGACATCAAAACTCATCACTCAGACTACAGTTACTCAACATGTAGAAAAGTTAGATTTTAAGAAAGGGTGTGTATTAACTGATATGGGAATTGTGTCAATGTTAAAATTATTTCATAGAATATGGGGAGAAACTGTCTGAATAGTTACACCTGCACTTACAGAACATGCACTTATCACTGAGCAAGAGATCATGGCAGTTTACATAATCTTTTTTTTTAAAGATTTATTTATTTGAAAGAGTTACACAGAGAGAGAGGCCTTTGGTCCCATGGCTCACTCTCTAGATGGCCACCACAGCCAGAGCTGCGCGGATCCTTAGCCAGGAGCCAGGAGCCTCCTCCATGTCTCCCATGCAGGTGCAGAGACCTAAGGACTCAGGCCATCTTCCACTGCTTTCCCAGGCCATAGCAGAGAGCTGGATTGGAAGTGGAGCAGCTGGGTCTCAAACCGGCACCCATATGGATGCCGGCGTTTCAGGCCAGGGCACTAACACGCTGCGCCACAGCACTGGCCCCAGTTTACATACTCTTAAAAATTGATTAAAAATCCTTGATAATGAGACAGAAGACACTAGAATAATTTTTTTTTCTTTTTATAAATCATATTTTTCTTTTGAGAGAGAGAGACCGAGACAAAGGGGAGACAAACAGAAAAGCAGGTAGAGACTGTAAGAGACAGACAGCATCTCTGGTTCAATTCATAAATTCTTACAATGTCTGAAAAGGTGGG